CCTACAAGATCTCTATCAAGCATTCTTACAACTACAGTACCCACCTGCGGAAGTGAAGAAACAGATTGATAGAGCCAGAAGAGTTCCCAGAAGTCACCTACTACAGGACAGTCCTAAGAAAGAAAATAACAGAACGCCACTAGCCGTCACCTTCAGCCCCCAACTAAAACCCCTCCAACGCATTATTAAGGATCTACCACCTATCCTGAAGGATGACCCAACACTCTCACAAATCTTGGGAGACAGGCCAGTCCTTGCCTACAGACAGCCCCCCAACCTGAAGCAAATACTCACCAACAACCACATACCACACAACAGAACCACTAACCCAGGAACCTATCCTTGCAACAAAGCCCGTTGCCAACTGTGCCCACATATCTATTCAGGGGACACCATCACAGGGCCTAATAACATCAGCCACACTATCAGAGGCTCGTTCACCTGCACATCCACCAATGTGATATATGCCATCATGTGCCAGCAATGCCCCTCTGCCATGTACATTGGTCAAACTGGACAGTCTCTACGTAAAAGAGTAAATGGACACAAATCAGATGTCAAGAATTATAACATTCATAAACCAGTCGGAGAACACTTCAATCTCTCTGGTCACGTGATTACGGACATGAAAGTCGCTATTTTACAACAAAAAACTTCAAATCCAGACTCCAGCGAGAAACTGCTGAATTGGAATTCATTTGCAAATTGGATACAATTAACTTAGGCTTGAATAGAGACTGGGAGTGGCTTAGTCATTATGCAAGGTAGCCTATTTCCCTTTGTTTTTTCCTACCCCCCCCCCCCAGACATTCTTGTTAAACCCTGGATTTGTGCTGGAAATGGCCCAACTTGATTATCATACACATTGTAAGGAGAGTGATCACTTTAGATAAGCTATTACCAGCAGGAGAGTGGGGTGGGAGGAGGTATTTTTTCATGCTTTGTGTGTATATAATAAGATCTTCTAAACTTTCCACAGTATGCATCCGATGAAGTGAGCTGTAGCTCACGAAAGCTTATGCTCAAATAAATTGTGCCACAAGTACTCCTTTTCTTTTTGCGAATACAAACTAACACGGCTGTTACTCTGAAACCTTTCATTACTACTGCCAGCGTTTTACTTCCACTATTTATTAACATGATCTGAGCTGTCTGGCATCCTGTCACAAACAGAAAGGAGGAGGAACCACTAGAATAGTTCCTGGGACCCAGAATTGGGGGTGACAGGCCTTAGTGATTCCATAGCATGTGTCTTCCTGTCTGTGAGCCTGGAGCTGTGCCATCTTCACAGATCTACCGAGGACAAGGTGGGGGAGCAGCAGCTGCCTGGCTCTGAGGCGTGAGGCTATTCTGAAAGGGAATGAATGCTGCTCAAGGCATCAATAACTCCTATGCTGCACCTTCTCCCTCCCCTGAGGAGCAGGAGGGGAGGATTCTCAGGGATGCAAGCAAGTACTGATGTGGTGACTGCCCTTCACATGGGGGTGTGGTCCAGCAGCTCCATGGATGGTGCAGCATGCTGCAGGGCCACTCTTGTTCCCTATGGATTGGTTTCCTCTGCAGCCCAGCCCCTCCCCAACTCTGCTCCCATGAGGAGCATTCTAAAGAAACATCAGGCCATTCTCCCCATTCATGCAGGTCAAAGCCTGTGGAGTCCCTCAGATAGCCGTGGAAGGGGGTAGGGGACATAGCTAAGGAGGCAGCAACCCTCACTTCAATGCTGTTCCCATCCAGGCCTGCCAGTGTCTAGTCACTCTGTTACTAGAGCCCATAGAATATTCATTATTCTCCAAACTTTGGGGAAGGCAGATCTGTGAGATCAATTTCAATCACACCTCTCACAATACAGAAGAAAGGGGTAATAGATTAAAGTCCATTGCTCTTCAGGAGTCCTGAATATTTAATAACCCACCAAAAAGCTGTAAAATACTGAACCATGCCCTACTGCAGCTCCCTGGTAGTAATTATTAATGGGCTTTGGGCAACCTTTGCAATATAACTGAGACACATTGCTCTGCGACTTCCTAAGGAAAGGCCCTATTCAATTGTGAGCATTGAGGGATAAGAACAAACATTCTGTACTGAGCATCCCAGTGTCTAGCCTTCTCTCCATTGGATCATCATGTTTTCCAACACCTTGCTCAGTGACTGAGTTTCAGGTAAGCCTGTCTCATAACTCTGGAATTAAGCTCACTCCATCTCTAGAAGCACTGAGATCTTTAGATAGTCTGCTGGGATGTACAGATGCCTGCAACCCTTTGTCCTGCTAACTAGCACTAGTGCAGGTAGCCACTTCAGCTTCATCACAACCACTCAGGAGTAAGTACTACTTAGCATAAGTAAGGGGGTCACAGAATTGGGCCCCAAGCAACAGGTTTGGGTGCAGCATTGGTTTGGAATGCTTGTGCCCTGGTTCAGGGGTGAGTTGTTCCCCCAGTCTCTCTGTGGGCATCCTTGCCATGTGACAGCTCTTTACCTGCACTCCTCCCAGAGCTGGACTCTGCAGTTCACCCCACTTTAGGCTGAATCACCAGACTGCAGTACACCCTATTCCTGCCATCCTGTCACTGTGTGAGCAGTACCTTCCACCCCTTTGCAGCCCCTTGGGAGAGCACACCACAGGTGACAGGTTTCACTTCCTTTTCCTTTCTTCACCTACACTCAGACTGGTCACAGGGCAGCAGCCCCCCTGTTTCAAACTATTAAAAGGACAGGCCTGGCTGTATTTGGCGCTCAGAAGAAATTTCCCTTCTCGAGCCTGTCTGCAGTTAAAATGACTCAAAAACAGTGTGTTTAAAACAAATGAATTTTTGCCCAAAGTTACACAGCAAGCAGAGAGAAGGGGATAAACAATAGTCACTATGCATCTGGCCTCACCTAGACATTACCCTTTCTTTGCAAGTTTTCCACTTCACTCAAGTGCCTACACCTTTGGATTGGGAAAGACGACTTTCCCCTGGCAGTGTTTTCTCTCACAACTCCCTACTCCCACCCCCACAGCAGCAGCTGCTGCTCCTCACACCCCTTCCACTCTAAACTGGAGTCTTTAGTGGTTTAGTGCCCCTCAGATCCTTGGCTCCAACCTGAGAAAAATGTACCTGCTAGCCTGGTTGGAGCAAGATGGGGGCATGTCCCAGTTAATAGCTCCCCTGTTGTTGCCTAAAGGACCCTACGGATTCTCTCTGGTGGTACCTGGTCTTTGTCATTGTTTTGTTTCCTGTTTATTTCCTCCTCCCCCTCTTCCCTCCCCCCCACAGGTTCATTTGATTCAATTCCAGGCACTCAAGAAGGACAAACAGGTAAACTGATGTATAGATAATATTAATTAAATACAGATAATTGCCTCATTCTCCACAGCTTGCATTTAGCAGGAATTTGGACAGTGTTGCTTCCTGTACTTAGGACCGAATTCTACGCTTGTGAAAATCATGGGAACTTTTCCATTGACTTTAACGGGAACAGGATTTGGCCCTCAGTATACATGGTGGCTCCTAGCAGTGCAAGGGGCTCTTTGGGACAAAACAAAATGCATAGAGTTGTGTTTGGTGCTCTCCTCTACTAAACAAGATATCCCAGGGTCTCTTGGTACACTGCTACTTTATAGCAAAAATGAGGAGAGTGCAACTAGGTCGGGGTCAGGATCAGACTAAAGTAAAACAAAAGTCCCCTAGCATTTCTTAAAACAGGCACCCTGGCAGTTTTCCCTATTTAGTGGGAAGGTGCTAATGTGCTTATAAGGAGGGAGGGATAGCTCAGTGGTTTGAGCATTGGCCTGTTAAACTCAGGGTTGTGAGTTCAATCCTTGAGGGGGCCAGTTGGGATCTGGGGCAAAAATTGGGGATTGGTCCTGCTTTGAGTAGGGGCTAGGACTAGAAGACCTCCTGAGGTCCCTTCCAACCCTGGTATTCTATCATCATCAACTTACTTCAATTTGCGCACATCTCTGTTAAGTGGGGTCCGATCGTCATTAGGAATGATTTGCAGAAAGTGCTAGGCACTTATGCTGAAGTAGAGGGAATGTTACAAGATACTTTATCTTCTGAAAAGTCATCACTGCCTGACCTTCAATAGAAGCCAGACACATAACTGCCCTTATGCCTTTGAAAATTTCCCCCCCAGTCTCATAATTTTCTCCTTTTTGGTAAAGTTTGCAAATCTTGTAACATGAAAAAATACACAGACATCAGCCTCTATTGATATGCATAGATCAGGCTCTCAGTCCTGCTATGAGGTACTTTTCTGACTATAGAAGAATTAACAATAAAAAGAAAAGTGATGGCAAAATATAGTAACTAGCCCTAAGAACAACAGAATTTAGTTAACAAACCTCCCAAAAGCCAGAAAATCCCCAATGAACCATTGAAGAATTCATGTTTGTTCCAGTACTACAGTTCAGAAGACAGGAACTGAAATCCCAAAGATATAAAAAAAGAAGTGTCACATTGTAGTAATAAGGGATACCCCTTTGAAACATTTGGCATATTCAGAACAATATCTTCCCACGCTATAGCACTAGGAAACAGACTGAAATGTACTTACTGACAAATAGGGGCCAAAGGATTGGGTTCATTCATCTCAGAAGTGGGAGTCTCCTGCTCAGGATGAGTGAAAACTCCCACAAGTACTCCTTTTCTTTTTACTACAGGGAAGAGTTTCAAGCGTTGCCTTACTAGAGGCACATTTCCTCACTTAAGAAGGGGAAGGCAAGTGCTGAAGCTGGGAGGGAACTCAGAGAAGATTAGTACCAAGACTCAGATAAAACTTATTTCCTTAAACCCTGAGCTGTTTGAGAATCTCCACAAGGGGACTGATAACAGCATAAGTGTTAGAGCTAATGTAATTTCTTCCCCATGTTTCACTTACTATGTAGTGACAGTGCTGGTGAATACAGTCTCTAGTCTAGGAAAAGTGCATCCGTTGCTAGGAGTGTGGAAGGAAAAGAGAGAGGGGAATAGATTTGATCATAGAGTTGATTTTCAAATTTTTTTTTTCTTGAACTCATGACTGGGAAATCCAAACTTTACTACTTCAATGGAAGAGGACAAATGGAATCCATACATTGGCTGTTGGTGGCAGCTGGGGTCGAGGTTTGTTCTTTATAAAGAAATCAAGTGACTTCATATAGATTGGTTGAATTTATTTCCAGGTAATAGGAAAAAACCACTCCAACAGAATTATAGTTACTGTGACAAAGCTCTGTCCTTGCCTCCATGGGTCCTGCATTTCCTGGCAGATGTCACTCGCCTCAGAGGCTCACTGTGACCCTCCACATAACCCCCCCCTCTAGAGACAAGGGTCACAGTCTACTGAGCCATTTTCATCATAAGCCAGCAAGGGATGGGAGGAGAAGTTACCCTTCCTTGCAGTCTCTGTTGTCTCCCAGTCTCAGTGATTAATCAGGGGGCAAAGGGGCAGGAGGAGCCCAGGCCCACTCTCTACTCCAGCCCAGGGACCCTAATAGTATTAGCTATGGTAGCTGACCTTTTAGAAACATGATATGTGCAATTCCCTGGGCTACTTCCCCACAGCACTACCCCACCCCTGTCTGTGGACTCCGATGATGGGGTACTCTCCGCCATGCCTGAGGATTTTGAGGACGGGGAAGATGAGGAGGAGGAGGAGGATGAGCTTGAGGAGAGCACACAGCACACTGTTCTCCCCGACAGCCAGGATCTTTTTATCGCCCTGGCTGAAATACCCTCCCAACCCAACAAAGCTGGAGAAGGGACCTCTGGTGAGTGTACCTTTTAAAATATAATACATGTTATAAAAGCAAGCATTTTTTAATGATTAAGTATCCCTGAGGACTTGGGATGCATTCATGGCCAGTACAGCTACTGGAAAAATCTGTTAATGTGTCTGGGGATGGAGCGGAAATCCTCCAGGGACATCTCCATGAAGCTCTCCTGGAGGTACTCTAAAAGCCTTTGCAGAAGGTTTCTGGGGAGAGCAGCCTTATTCTGTCCTCCATGGTAGGACACTTTACCAAGCCATGCTAGTAGCAAGTAATCTGATATCATTGCATGTCAAAGCCTGGCAGTGTATGGTCCCGGTGTTTGCTGGCATTCAAGCAAGATCCGTTCTTTATCTCTCTGTGTTATCCTCAGGAGAGTGATATCGTTCATGGTAACCTGGTTGAAATAGGGGAATTTAATTAAGGAGACATTCAGAGGTGGCCGTTCCCACTGGCCTGTTTGCTTGTGGCTGAAAGCAATCCTCCCCACTGTTAGCCATGCAGTGCGGGGGGGGGAGGGCATTGGCACTGAGCTGTTTGCGTTTGGCTAGCAGGGATCTTCCCTGATGCCAGCCACGCGGTGGGGTGAGGGGTAAAGCAATCATCCCAGAGAATTGGATGGGGGGGTGGGTTAGTTTGCTTTCTGCTGCTGCAAGTTAACAGGAAAACCGCAGCACTAAATGGCCAACTCAACATGCTTTGCTTGGTATGGGAGAGGAGGGCGCTGCTGTTATGAAGGTTGCAGAAGCCGAAAAATTATGCCTTACCTTGGCCACCTGCAAGCCGAATTCTGTTGCCCGGCACTGTGTGTCTGATCTCTAACACCAAAGCCGCAGACACTCAATATAAGATGCAAAATGCGATCTTGTACCAAAATCGCATGTGCTATGTAATATGAATAGTGTTGTTCACCGTGAAAGAGTATAGCCATTGTTCTGTAAAATGTATCTTTTTAAATTCTTCACTCCCTTTTTTTCCTCCAGCAGCTGCAAATGTTTCAAGCCTCCCTCCTCTGTCCCAAAGGCTATCTCAGATAAGGCGGCAAAAAAAACGCAAGCGCGATGAAATGTTCTCTGAGCTCATGCAGTCGTCCGGCACTGAAGCAGAATGTGTGGAAGGACACAATCGCAGAGTACAGGAAAGTGGCCGATGAACGTGAGGAGAGGTGGCGGCAAGAAGATCAGAGGAGGCATGAGGCAATGCTGGGGCTACTGTGGGATCAAACGGACACGCTCCAGCGTCTGGTGGAGGTTCAGGAATGGCAGCAGGATCACAGACTGCCGCTGCAGCCCCTGTTTAACTGCCCTCCCTCCTCCCTAAGTTCCATAGCCTCCTCACCCAGACGCAAAGAACGCGGGCAGGGGAAAGCTCCAGGCACCCAACCACTCTACCCCAGTGCTACCCAAGCAACAGAAGGCTGTCATTCAACAAGTTTTAAAGTGACCTTTTCCTTCCCTCCTTCCCTCATCCCACACCCCACCCGGGCTACCTAGTGAGTTAGCTCCCTATTTTTATAATCAATTAATAAAGAATACATGTTTTTAAAACAATAGTGACTTTATTTCCTTTGCAAGCCAGCTGTGATCGAAGGGGGGAGGGTGGGTGGCTCACAGGGAATCTAGAGTCAACCAAGGGGGCGGGTTTTCATCAAGGAGAAACAATCAGAAGTGTCACACAGTACCCTGGACAGTCATGAAACTGGTTTTCAAAGCTTCTCTGATGCGCAGCGCTTCCTGCTGTGCTCGTCTAACTGCCCTCGTGTCTCGCTGCACATATTCAGCGGCCAGGCGATTTGCCTCAACCTCCCACCCCACCATAAACGTCTCCCCCTTACTCTCACAGAGGTTGTGGAGCACACAGCAAGCAGCTTTAACAATGGGAATATTGGTTTCGCTGAGGTCTGAGCGAGTCAGCAAACCGCGCCAGCAATGCTTTAAACATCCAAATGCACACTCTACCACCATTCTGCACTTGCTCAGCCTGTAGTTGAACAGCTCCTTACTACAGGGTGCCTGTGTACAGTTTCATGAGCCAGGGCATTAAGGGGTAGCCTGGGTCCCCAAGGATAACTATAGGTATTTCAACATCCCCAACAGTTATTTTCTGGTCAGGGAAGTAAATCCCTTCCTGCAGCCATTTAAACAGACCAGAGTTCCTGAAGATGCGAGCGTCATGAACCTTTCCCCGCAATCCCACGTTGATGTTGGGGAAACATCCCTTGTAATCCACCAGTGCTTGCACCACCATTAAAAAGTACCCCTTTCAGTTTATGTACTGGCTGCCCTCGTGGTCCGGTCCCAAGATAGGGATATGGGTTCCGTCTATGGCCCCACCACAGTTAGGGAATCCCATTGCAGCAAAGCCATTCACTATGACCTGCACATTTCCCAGAGTCACTACCTTTGATAGCAGCAGCTCACTGATTGCGTTGACTACTTGCATCACAGCAACCCCCACAGTAGATTTGCCCACTCCAAATTGATTACCGACTGACCGGTAGCTGTCTGGCGTTGCAAGCTTCCACAGGGCTATTGCCACTCGCTTGTGAACTGTGAGGGCTGCTCTCATCTTGGTATTCTTGTGCTTCAGGGCAGGGGAAAGCAAGTCACAAAGTTCCATGGAAGTGCCCTTACACATGTGAAAGTTTTGGAGCCACTGGGAATCATCCCAAACCTGCAACACTATGCGGTCCCACCAGTCTGTGCTTGTTTCATGGGCCCAGAATCAGCGTTCCACAGCATGAGCCTGCCCCAGTAACACCATGATCTCCAAATTGCCGGGGACCACAGTTTTAGATAAATCTGTGTTCATGTCCTCATCATCGCGCTGTCGTCGCCTCCTCGCCTGGTTTTTCAGGTGCTGGTTCTGCATAAACTGCACAATAATGCGCAAGGTGTTTACAATGGTCATAACTGCTGCGGTGAGCTGAAAGGGGATCCATGCTTGCCGTGCTATGGCGTCTGCTCAGGCAATCCAGGGGAAAGGGCGCAAAATGATTGTCTGCTGTTGCTTTCACAGAGGGAGGGAGGGTTGACTGACGACATTTACCCATAACCACCTGCGACAAATTTTTGGCCCCATCAGGCATTGGGAGCTCAGCCCAGAATTCCAGTTGGCAGCGGGGACTGCGGGAACTGTGGGATAGCTACCCACAGTGCACCTCTCGGAATGTCAGTGCTTGCCACGATACCGTGTACGCAAACCGCCGAATTAATGTGCTTAGCATAGATGCATGCACTCGACTTTATACAATCTGTTCCCAAAAATCAATTTCTGTAACATTGGAGTACTTTCGTAGTATAGACATGGCCTTAGAGTTGTACATTAAAGATCCTGCAATTCATTCCACTGCAGTGTTGTCCTCACAGAGAGCCCTATTGACTTGGTCGTGTCAACGCTAGGAAAGCACGGACTCTTTATAGTGAAAATTCTTGTTATAAAAGCAAGGTGATGATATTTCCAAAAGCAAGAGGAAAGGGTTAGTTTTATAGGGCAAGGAGAATTCTGCAGTTCCAGAACTCAAGTTTGGAAATAGTGAAGCAGAGGTAACATTTTAAATTACCACAATTTGGCCAAGAAGAAAAATCTTAAATAGTTTGTGTCATCCCCAACTGCTTTAAAAATTAGAAAATACGTATTATCAAGGATCCTGAAAAAGCTGACGGGCTTATCAATGTATGTTAATGAATAATGCCGTGGCTGGCTGTACCAACCAGGTATTAGTGCTGAGCATAAAGCTTTTTGAATAAATTTATCTTTCTTCACGCAATCAAGAACTCATGAACTTGGTGTTTCACAGCATTTATTTAATATCTGTGGCTCGTTATTTGACATGGTTATTAGTATTGCTGGACTCTGGCAAGAGTAAAACATATAGTTTTCAACAATTTTTAATAATTTGAGGATTAAACCTGTTTTTTTTCTGTATTTCCATCTGTAACAATTGCCTTTTGGAACTTAAATACAGAGGCTTTGATTTTTGTCTCTTGCTCTAACAACACAGTCTGCCAGCATCCTATTAGACACAGGTGTTTGAAAGCAAGCTGCAGAATAAGAGCTGTTCTGTACTAAAGTCCTTGATGTGGGAGGTTCTTATCCCTAAGCTCCATTGCTTGACCCTTGGTCAAGATAGCAGCTCATCTAAGGGTTGCACTGAGCTTTCTTTTTTTTTTTTGGGGGGGGGGGTGGTTTCTCTCAATTCCAGTCTGTCCAAAATGCTGCTGCCAAAATCATCTCTCTTCTGCCACTTTGATATGTGCACACAGTGAATCTCTGCACTGGCTTCTTCTCTTCTACAGACCATTCAAACTCCTCCTCCTCTCTTTACAAGCACTCCACACTTCCACTCTTGTCTGCATTCATTTTTGCTCCTTGCTTTTAATCTGTTAACGTACAGTTTATTACTCCACCCACCTTTCCTAACCCATTTTGCAAAAGTGCTTTCACCTAGGCACACCATAATCTATTTGCCTACTTGTGATAAGTTAAAAATGAAAGGAGGAGAGTTGATGATTACCCTGAGGGAGGCTATATACAGAGCACTCCCACGGGGCCCTGAAGAGGGAGCTGTGAAAACATATCTGGCCACAAGCAGGAGACAGGCTAATGGTCTCCCTGCTACAGGCCCAAAGATTCTATCTATCTATCTGTCTAGAACTGAATCAGATAGAGAGACATGAAGTGATGGTAAACTTATTTTAGGGAACAGGGAAAAGAAAACAAGATAAGAAAACTGACAGCTGAAATGGAACATTGCATTATGGAAGCCTTATTCTACAGCTGCGATACTTCTTAGCAAAAGGTACTGTCCCCGGTGGCACATTCCACTGTGGCGAAGTATTGCTTTTTGAGGCTTCGTTCCACACTGAGAAGTGCAGTGGTAGCTGCCAGACGTGAGGAGGATTTTCTAAAGTTTTATTTTAAAATAGGAAACATGATGTTTATTTCCGTTTTTGGACATCATTCTGACAACCCAGGTCACAGAACAGGGGTTGAGTTGGGGGATTTCATTACTTGTCTCTATTAATCAACTGGCATTATTGGGTTTTTCAAATTTCCCCTGAAGTGAAAAGCCCTCAGATATCTCCTGATTCATAATTCCTGATACATAGTTCAGCTATCTTGTTTTTATTGCTCTCTTTCCAGTTTGAAGAAGAATTTTTGGAAACAAGAGAATATGAAAAGCTACTACAGGGTGAGGCTGAAGACTGAGTCTTGAGTGACTACCAGATTTTTTTTTTTACCATAGAATCAGAGAAGATTAGGGTTGGAAGAGACCTCAGGCGGGCATCTAGTCCAACCCCCTGCTCAAAGCAGGACCAACTCAACGAAATCATCCCAACGAGGGCTTTGTCAAGCTGGGCCTTAAAAACCTCTAAGGATGGAGATTCCACCACCTCAGCATTTGTAGGTTATATTGTAAAGCAGTGTCCAGGCTTTTCAGCTTTAGGCCTGAACAGATATCAAAAAGGTCAAGTGGCCATGCGTTTGGTACTTGGGGGAGGCCTCCAGCCCCCTTCACTCAGTGGGAGTAGAAACAACCTGCAGGTGCTCTGCTAGGGATTTTCTGGCATGGGGCAGTGGGCATAAAGTCAGTGTAACCCACTCCTCTGCCTCACTACACTCAGCTTCTGGCACAGGGGATATGACTAACTGGGAAAATGTCTGTATTACTTTTTATGACTATTACATGTGACTCAGTTTCCCTATTCAGTATTGTATTGCTGCCTGCCTGAATGCATAGAGTTAAATCAAAGGAGACTGTAAGAAGGTTGTTTTGAGGCTCGGATGTTTCAAGGCTTGCGGTACAAGGAGACTTAACCCTTCCAAGACCCTAGAACAGGGAGGGGATTCTGAAGTAAACTAAGATAAAATGATGGGCTGGGAAGACAGACAGAGAGAGACAGCAGGATAGGTGGCTGCTCCTTGCCAGGGATGGAGCAAGCTGAGCTAACGGGAACTTGAAAGGATGTAAGTAACAGCCATGTGTGTAAGCCTGTTACTGTTGCTACACTTTGTCTAAATGGTTTGTACCTTTGAGGAATGAATAAATCATGCTTTGTTCTGAAGAAGCTCTTTTTAGTCACTTTAATCAGTTGCTGTTACAAGCTTCCAAAGGGGATGCCATGGCAGGGTTCAACCCCAGGTGGATCTGTTGAAGTAGTCACAGTCAGTACCGAGGGGGCTGTAACCCAGGTCCTGGTTAGAGAGTGGGCAAATTGCAGAATTCCACCACAGGAGAGACAGAGACCTGAAGCCTGACACCTGTGCAGGCTGTACTCAGGGAGACCCCCAAGAAGGGACAGCAGTGCAGCTATCCTGGTAACCGTGATGAAGGGGATACCAGAAGTTGAGAAGAAAGCACTTTGCACTGTGGATATTCCTAGCTGATGTATGATCCATAAGGGACCGTCACAAGTTAGAATGTCCCACATTTAGAAATGTCCAGATTTTTTGGAGAAACTTTAGACTAGAACTGGTTAAAACTAGTGAAAAGTCAGAGAGGAGAGGAGGTATGTTAGCAGGTACAGCAGGTGCACTGATTTAGGGTATAGCTGTAGAAAGCAACTCTCAGCTCTAACACTTTTGAATAATTTATCATTAGTGCTTACCCTATTATTATAAAATTCAACAGGTCGATATGTTGCTTATGGCTAGCTATAAAACCTTCTGCTGATGTGATTATAGTCATCTGTCACAGACATTACTCATCTATAACACATTTAGCTCATTGCCATGGGAAGTTGTGAGGGCCAAATGTATACCAGCGTTCAAAAAGAACTAGATAAGTTCATGGAGGATCGTCTCCATCAGTGGCTAATAGCCAATGTGGTTGGGGAAGCAACCCCATGCTTGGAGTGACCCTAAACCTCTGACTGCCAGAAGCCAGAAGGGAATGACTGGACAGATCAGTCCTACTGCCCTGTTCTGTTCATTCCCCATGAAGCTCTGGTACTGGCTACTGTTGGAATTCAAGACACTGGACTAGATGGACAACTAGTCTGACTCAGCATGGCTGTACTTATGTTCTTATATCTGCAACATGCTAAGAACATCTTCTAATCCTCTGTAAACTATTTATGCATCCTTAATATAAATGTTACACGTTCTTTTTCTAAGCAATTTAGAATTGTTCTAAACAATTACTGTTCAACCACACTTAATCTTTTGTGCAATAAGTGACAACATTTTATTATATACACCTGCTTAGCACAGTAGAATTTCAGTGTCTCTCAAATGCAGAAATATTAGCAGCCAATGCTGCTCACACTGAACGAGCTGTGTCACACATCCCATTGACTTATGTGGAGAACAGCACCAGGCTCCAGTCAGCTACTCGGGTTCCAGTGCAATGATATGACAGTTATGGGAACTCAGTGTCTTGACATTATTTTTCCTTTCTCAGATGGGGCCCTGATATTTCAACAAGTGCCCATGGTGGAAATTGATGGGATGAAGATGGTGCAGACCAGAGCCATTCTCAGCTACATAGCAAGGAAACACAATCTCTATGGAAGGAGAGAGCAATGTACAGTATTAATAGCTTACACAAATATATAGGCTTACATTCCAAAGCAGTTTCCAGTGCAGAACAGTTTAGGGCAGGAACGGAAGGAGAATGCCCTCCAATTTCCAATGCTTGGAGAATTTAGAGAATTCAGAATGCAGTTACCTAGATTTGGTCAGGTCATTGGGTGAATGCCCTTATTTTTGTGCCAGGAGATCTCTAATAAGTATGGCTGAGATTTTCAAAGGTATGTAAAAGAGTTACATGCCCAATTCTACTTAATTTTAATGGGATCTGGGCACTTAGCTTCTTTAGGCTCTGTGAAAATCCCAGTGTTTCAATACCAGGCTATGTATCCTGTTTGAAAGATGACTCCTGCAGTAGCTCAGTGTTGGGAAGTGGCTCAGTGATGATTCTGGAGGAAGAATCTACCTACTTTGGCTTGATTTGCAAGTTGTATCCATGTGGAACCTTGCTGATTTGAACAGCTCGGCACATGGTTTGCCCATGCAAAGTAGCTTGCATGATTAGGGCCTAAGTAACCAACACCACTTTGTTGGGCACCTTAAGTTTTCCTTGGAGGTATCCCATGCAAATACTAACCAGGCTAGATCTGACTTAGTTTGTGAGAGCTGACAATGCCAGCCCAAAGTGCCTGCATATATTGCTCCTAGCTTGATAGAAATACACTTACAGTATGCACTTTGATTAGAAAGGAGAGAAAAAAGGTTACCACAGAACAATTATTGTAAGAGAAACCAAATGCTTTGCAATTGTAATGAGTGAGAAATGAGATTGCATGAGTTCATATAAGAAATAATCTAAAATTAGACAGGCTCAGGGAACTACTACAAATATAAGCTATATTTCTTTACAAATGTGACAACAGAAGTGAGTGACTGTTAATGGTTGAAGCACAGAGATATGCATAAAAGATCAGTTTGAAAAAAGAAAGGTACGTAGTTTAAAATCCACAGTCTTAGGCTGCAGCCCCAGGTCTGAGATGTTACATGCATCTATTTAGTTGTCAGAACGTTTTCAAAACCACTTTAAGCAAATTATGCCCTATGCATATTGGAAATAAAACTGTCAGCTGAAAACATGTTAAATATTTGTTTTTAAAATCCATATGTTAACACACATTTTTAAGTACAGATGGGGCAAAACCAACAAAATATTTCCCCTCGTGCTCAAGGGCAGATGGGCAAGTGAGCAGGGATAAACTATAACTACTGACAGTAGAGAGGTGAGAGGAAATAACAATAACTTCCTTCACATAGTGATTGTGCTCTAGTGCAAGTGTAAGCAGAGGTGGGAAGTGAACACAAGGAAAGCTAAAGGGTACAGGGTGTCCTTTACACTGGGCAGCGAATCTCAAACCTCTTGTGTTCTCACTGCATTAATTAACAGGACAGGGTTAGGGTGAAGAATGGGCATCTCAGCAGTATGGGTATAAATGACACTTGGTATGCAAACGAGGCACTTAGCTACAGAATCCCCTCCTTAGCCCTCTTACTTAGGCAGGAGTCACTTAGTGGCTACACAGTAAGGCTCTCAATTCTGCAGTCTCAGGTTCTGTTGTCTTGCACATCTACCTGCAAAACTCCTCATCCGTGCTGTTCGGGATCCAGCCCTGAATCCTGTGCCTGGAACTGAAACCCAAGAGTGTGAACAGAAGCAAAAGCTGTTCTCACAGCAAGAGACAAAGAGAAAGAACGCCACTTTCTCTTGCAGCCTTTAAGAGCAGGTTCAATGTAATTCCCTACGCCCATTTGGGTGTTCCTAAACTAGGAGGCTCTCCACTGTTGCAACCTTGTATCAAATTACTCAGATTACTGTACCCTTGAGCCTAACCCTTTACTTTAGCCTGTCTCTTCATTAACTTTGCCCAGGAAATAATTTACTTGTTCAGATAATCCCTGCCACAGCTTCAGCAGTCAGTGTTGATATAAGGGAGTCCTGCCCTGGGGTGGTGATCAGAATGGGAATTGTTTGTTCTATATGCCTTTGAAACTCTAATCTGAATAATTATTTCTTAGCGTGTTTGTCTCTTGTGCATTCACTTTAGGCCCAATCCTGCCCTGTTGACATGAACAGCAACACTCCCACTGACTTTGATAGAAGAGGATCAAACATTTAATCTTTGACACAGAGAGAATGAGTACAGTCCTCTCTCAGTATTCTGTTACTCAGGATCAGTTGTTTGGGCATAGACCTAACCCCATGCTTGCTTTCCTACTTCTATGGCAGCTTTCTGCTACAAGTAACTGGAGCCAGGAAGGGGAAGTGCAGGGCTGGGGTCAGACAATGTGCTTTGATCCAATCCATTTGTCCTTTTGCCCCTCCCCTGCAAAGGAGACACATTAGGGCCTGCATGGTTGCAGAGCATGGGGTGGAAAGGATCCATGTGCATCTTCTCTGTGGACAGCCAGGCTACTAAGAACGGGAGGATGGATTTGGCCCTTAAGAGTTAGGTTACTTCTCTGTGCGCGACTTGGTGGCGGACTTGGGAGATCTCAGTGTTCAGCTAAAACAGTAATGCAACTAAAGATTGTGTTGATAGGGTCACTTCAGAGAGGAAACCTCGGCATTGCTGTTGAGCATGTTTTGTTTTGTTTTGAAAGACAGATATTTACTGATCATTTACCTTTCTAAAAGATCAATTCATACTGTAGTTAAAAACAATCCTGGTAACACAAAATTCAACTCTCTAAAAAACAATCATTTTTCTAAATTGTAAAGAAAAGGTGAAATGATTAGGGCGTCACTATTTTCTACAGGACTGACATGTATGTGGAAAGAACAAGAGATCTGATGGATGTGATCAGGGTTCACCATAAATTACCCCCCAAGGAAAAGGAGAAGAATCTTGCTTTAAACAATGAGAGGGCCACAACCAGATACTTCCCAGTTTATGAAAAGGTATGTGGCAGTGAAGGAACAATTTACAGTCAGCACAAAATGCTGAAAGGAAAACTCGTGAACTTGTAACTGTAATAAACAATTTTCTGGCCACTAATCTGGTCTTTAAAATGAAATGTAATTATCGTACAAGTTCTGTAGACCCTGTTCCTACTGAAGCATCTGCAGTTACAGCCTAATTTGATTTTAATGGGACTCTCTGAAAGTCAGGTCACCTGCAGGATTGGGACCTCAAAAAGAATAAATTGGGGCAAACAGTAAGAGTTTAACCTCTCAAATGTGACTGATTTGATGTGGAGCCATGCTCAATCCCAGTGTGTCTATTTTCAGATTATATACCTAGGTATTCTGAAAAAAATATTATATTTAAGGCAATGAAGAGTATGATCAGTTAAATTCATTTGTACCAACCCAATGAGAGGCAATGCAACGTAAGCCTCCTATCCAAAGTTGCATTGCCTCTCATTGGGTTGGTACAAATGAATTTAACTGATCATACTCTTCATTGCCTTAAATATAATATTTTTTTCAGAATACCTAGGTATATAATCTGAAAATAGACACACTGGGATTGAGCATGGCTCCACATCAAAGGAACCACTGTGCTGATGGTTTTTATATAACAAAGTCTTATACTTGATTTGAATTAGTCATCAGTCTGAATCAGAATTTGTAACTGTTGCTGCTTTTCAGAAGCTGACCCACAATGCTCCACACTGACACTTAAATTGGTGCAAATGCTCCTGGTGAGGACGTGCACCGCCGACACAAGGAGCATAGTGTGGACATGCAAATGCAGTTTAATTACTGCGGTGGCTGTAAGTTGACTTAGCTTGACTTAATTTTGTAGTGTAGACTCACCCTTTGTGTCTCAGAAATATTCACACAAACTAGATAGGCTATTGTCATATTCTGGGGTACAATCCAAACTAGGGAGGGGTTGTGTTACCACCTGCCCTGCAACCGTGGGTGCCTCACAATGCTTTGCTGCTTTACCTCTCAATTTGGGCCCTTCACAAACAGCCAAACAGCATGCATGTCACACCCTGAGTGTGTGTATAGCTGCAGCCAGCAAGCAACACTCCAGTAACACTCTGGCTTCCAACAGCCTGGGTTACTACCTGTGGAGTAACCCCAACACACTCCTAGTCCCAGATTTTCCCCAAAACCTGTGTTCTGCTCTCCTGAGAGTTCAGATATTAGAGGTCTGTTTTCCCTGTAAGGGGTCAATATACAACAGTTAGCTACTTTAAACGGAGTTACCAAACAATTCAGAAGAGAGAAAAAAAGTTAGAATACTTTGGGTGTTTTGCCCCTAACTTTTATAGTCCAGTCACCCTTTGAAATGCACTTTGCTAATGGCTACCCCTAGATAAAGTTCCTTCCAGCTGTGAGGATAGAGACATAGAGTCTTGTAGTGAAAGAGGTTCCCTGCTGTTTGCTAAAAAGACTGTAATTTGCATTTTGTACGGTGCTGAGCATACAATAAAAATACCCTGTTAACTGATGCAAGGATCATGTGAAGGTAAATCATAATTTTTTTTAGACTGTTATGTGAACATGCCAGAAAGATAAAGCCACGAATAGAACATGATCTACAAATACTGTTTGAAACAACATACCGTAGAAATCATTTTGAACAAAATTACAACTCAGTAAATAAGAAAAGGAGTACTTGTGGCACCTTAGAGACTAACCAATTTATTTGAGCATGAGCTTTCGTGAGCTACAGCTCACTTCATCGGATGCATACTGTGGAAACTGCAGAAGACATTATATACACACAGAGACCATGAAACAATACCTCCTCCCACCCCACTGTCCTGCTGGTAATAGCTTATCTAAAGTGATCATCAAGTTGGGCCATTTCCAGCACAAATCCAGGTTTTCTCACCCTCCGCCCCCCACACACACAAACTCACTCTCCTGCTGGTAATAGCCCATCCAAAGTGACCACTCTCTTCACAATGTGTATGATAATCAAGGTGGGCCATTTCCTGCACAAATCCAGGTTCTCTCACTCCCTCACCCCCCTCCAAAAACCACACACACAAACTCACTCTCCTGCTGGTAATAGCTTATCCAAAGTGACCACTCTCCCTACAATGTGCATGATAATCAAGGTGGGCCATTTCCTGCACAAATCCAGGTTTTCTCACCCCCCCACCCCCATACACACACAAACTCACTCTCCTGCTGGTAATAGCTTATCTAAAGTGATCATCAAGTTGGGCCATTTCCAGCACAAATCCAGGTTTTCTCACCCCCCCCCCCCCAGGGGGGAACACACACACACACACACACACACACACAAACTCACTCTCCTGCTGGCAATAGCTCATCCAAACTGACCACTCTCCAAGTTTAAATCCAAGTTTAACCAGAACGTCTGGGTGGGGGGTAGGAAAAAACAAGGGGAAATAGGCTACCTTGCATAATGACTTAGCCACTCCCAGTCTCTATTTAAGCCTAAATTAATAGTATCCAATTTGCAAATGAATTCCAATTCAGCAGTTTCTCGCTGGAGTCTGGATTTGAAGTTTTTTTGTTGTAAGATAGCGACCTTCATGTCTGTGATTGCGTGACCAGAGAGATTGAAGTGTTCTCCGACTGGTTTATGAAAGTTATAATTCTTGACATCTGATTTGTGTCCATTTATTCTTTTATGTAGAGACTGTCCAGTTTGACCAATGTAAATGGCAGAGGGGCATTGCTGACACATGATGGCATGGAGGGGGGTGAGGGGGTGAGAGAACCTGGATTTGTGCAGGAAATGGCCCACTTTGATTATCATACACATTGTGAAGAGAATGGTCACTTTGGATGGGCTATTACCAGCAGGAGAGTGAGTTTGTGTGTGGTGGGGGGGCGCAGGGTGAGAAAACCTGGATTTGTGCTGGAAATGGCCCAACTTGATGATCACTTTAGATAAGCTATTACCAGCAGGACAGTGGGGTGGGAGGAGGTATTGTTTCATGGTCTCTGTGTGTATATAATGTCTTCTGCAGTTTCCATGGTATGCATCCGATGAAGTGAGCTGTAGCTCAGGAAAGCTCATGCTCAAATAAATTGGTTAGTCTCTGAGGTGCCACAAGTACTCCTTTTCTTTTTGCGAAGACAGACTAACACGGCTGTTACTCTGAAACCTGTCAGTAAATAAGCAATATCTTAAAAATGGGAGAGTGCATTCAGATTTCAATAAATAACGTTTCCTCATGCTTCTTGTTTCAGTGTAACTTCTTTATGATGACAGATTTAGATAAAAGTTGGCTTAAAGAAAGGGGGAAACATTTCGTGTGTGTGAAGATAGAGCAATGTTGAAATATGCACTTAGTAAGAGGCCTATCTTATTCCCATTGAAGTCAATGAAAAGCCTTTTCAACTTCAGTGGGAGTTGAATTGAGGATGTAACAGAGGAAATGGACTTGTCAATAAATCTTATTCTGTTTATCTTGAGTTTTAGGCAAAGTTGACTTTAAAAACAATAAAAAAAATTCACAGGAAATCTATGCGTTAATTCACATTAGATAAGAAAAGCTTGTTTCCTTCTCTGCTGTAGAGATTTGTGGAAAACATTAGTAAACTAACAGGTAATGGTGACCTGGTGGACATTGCATATTCGGCTATTTGTAAAACTTTGCAAGTTCTCTCCTACAAAGCTGTGATGGAACATAAATAACTACAGAGCAGATGGAAAAGTCTTGTTTTAGAATGAAAAATGACTAAGCAGGAGGAATCAAAGAGGAATAGTGAGCAGCTGCTCCCAAGGTGCAGAGAAGATAACTGGGGGCTGTCTCAGAGACTGCCATTGAAGCAAGTGTTAGTTAAAATAGTTAATAACTACAAAGAGGAAATGGGAACGGAATCACTGAAGATTTCTGCTGACTGCAATGTCAAAGCTAGAGAGCAGGGGGTGTTGCCCTTTGCAATGAATTAGAAAGTTTCTTTCTCTCCCCAATCCCCTAAAGTCACAGCCTGGCACAGTTATCATGTCTCTGTTTTCTCTGTTTCTTTCTTTCCCTCGTTTCTTCCATTGACTTTTCCTTCAACTTATTTCCCACCCCTGCAGTTTCCCCTTTCTGCTGTCTGTATTTGTATTCACTTTTTGAGGTTCTTCCTTATTTCCACGTGCACCACAACTGCTCTGGGTACAGGAGCGGCCAAAGTGCCCTAAAAGTCGGGGGAGCCACTGGTGCACAAACTGTGGCCCTATGCTGCACTGCCCCTCAAGCCCCTGCCCCTGCACCACCCCATTTCCCCAAGCCCCACCCCTCTCCCCTGCCCTTGTACTGCACCGCCTCTTCCCGCAAGGACCCGTCCCAGTGCTGCCTCTTCCCCCTCAAGACCCTGCTCCCCTCCACTCACACCCTCTCCCCCCATCACTCGCCCTTACGGCCCGGTAAAAAGTGGAGGGGCCATGGTCCCCTGGCCCTCCCTGTTCCAGCACGCCTATCTGGGTACCTATGCTGGGAGAGGACATCCATGGATGGCTTTCTGAAGCCATGTCTAGACCAGAAACCGCTGCCAACATAGCTATGTCAGTCAGGGGTGTGAAAAAGTGTGAGTCCTGACCAATATAGCCATGCAGGCAGGAATCCTTAGTGTAGACAAAGCTATACTGGCAAAACTGTGCTTTTACCAGTATAACTTGTTTCACTTGTGGGGGTAGCTTTACTATATTGGTATAAAGCACAGCTTTGCCACTATAACTGTGTGCACATCAGGAGCCAGTATAGTATCCCAATATATTTATAACAGCAAAGCACTCCTGCTATAGATATAGCCCTAGTACGTGTAAACTGCTTCTGTGGCCAGTTGTATTAGTATCTGACACAAGAGCAGAGAAGAAGTGACTTCCCCAAGGTCAGGCAGAGAGTCTGTGGCAGAAATGGGAATTGGAGCTTGGTTGCCCAAGTCCCAGTTCGGTTCTCTAGCTGCTAGAAGCTAGACCACCTATCTACCCATCCAGTTTGATGTCTAGATTTGACCATTTCACCTTAAATGCAAGCAACAAAGCCAAAAAAATTGTATTGTATGGAAACTGTGGGTAGGACCCCAGGCAAATTGATTTTTTCTCATCTCTGGCTCATCTTAAAAGTTGTAAAATAGGCATTAATAATTACAAACATGAAGCCCAATTGTGGCAGAAATTGCATATCTATTTTTCATGTCCAAGTACCATGAATGCATATGCAAATCAGATAACTGCATGTGTGAATGTCAGGCTCTGGCAATCTGATTTTAAAAATCAGACCCATGTTGTCCTACATTTTAGGTGTCTTTCCTGTACATTGCAGCAGTGAGAGGACAAACCTGAACTACTGCTGAAAAGTCAGATAAGGGGCAGAACACACTGGTTTCATTTGTTAAATAGTATCACCATCAACTTGAACTATAGTCAATTCAAATGTAATATATTCTCTGTTTTTCTGAATGTTTTTTCCTCTGCTGTGTGAAAGACCCACCCAAACAACAGGAGATACTGAGTAGTTATGTAACCAGGAAGCTGACAGCACTCTATGTATAGTTAAAAAAAACAAACTGAAAAGCAGAGAGAAAGATATTTTTCTCTCTCACTCATAGTAATTTTATAACAGTAGTAGGTACAGCCACATTTTAAAATGGCACTGTAACTTTTATTTTTGTGGGGGTCTCTTTAGGAAGTGGGGAGCTTTTCTTTCCTATGAGGTATGCGTGTGACTACCCATGAGGGGAGGAGTTTGGAGAAGCTCCGTACTCTCAGAACCTGAAGAGACAACTTCTGTTCTCAGTTAAGGAGGAGAAGAACTCGGCCTGGGTCAGGACGTGAAGGTGAGTACTGAGACTCACTCACATAAAAAGAAATTTGTTTAACTTTCAACTGTTTGACCTGCTGGTTCAATGAAGCTACTTTCAAACACCTTAGCATTACTGTTGTTGGTGCTAATGTAAAATCTTTACTATATTTAGTCTCCTGCATCAAAGGCAGTTCAAGTGGTGTTTGATTGCTATACAGGAGGACAAAAGAAGGGAGAAAGGAACCATTTAAATAGGAAATTAATCCAGAAAGTTAATTCAGACTTGAATAAGGCATGTTGTAAAGTGAGGGCAAACAGTGAGAGCAAAAAGCCAAAGGAGAGGGGAGGGAGAAAGCAAGAGAAAGAGTAAAGTTCTGAATTGCAATGAAAGCCTGGAACTTAGAGCCGATTTCCTATGGATCTGATCATGAAAACTGGCTGATACAGCATGCTGTGCTCTGCTCTGAACTACAGTGGCTGATCAAATAGTGAAAACCTGTCTCCCTCCTGAGTGGTGGATGAAAGTAAAAACTTCTGCTGCTTTATATTGAATGCAGGCAATGTTGCTTTTGAAAGACTTAACTTTGTTCCCTGATTCTTGTATAGTGAATCTATAAAGTGCACTATAAGGTGGGTAGAAAGCTGGCTAGATTGTCGGGCTCAACGGGTAGTGATCAATGGCTCCATATCTAGTTGGCAGCCGGTATCAAGTGGAGTACCCCAAGGGTCGGTCCTGGGGCCGGTTTTGTTCAATATCTTCATAAATGATCTGGAGGATGGTGTGGATTGCACTCTCAGCAAATTTGCGGATGATACTAAACTGGGAGGAGTGGTAGATACGCTGGAGGGGAGGGATAGGATACAGAGGGAGCTAGACAAATTGGAGGATTGGGCCAAAAGAAATCTGATGAGGTTCAATAAGGATAAGTGCAGGGTCCTGCACTTAGGACGGAAGAACCCAATGCACAGCTACAGACTAGGGACCGAATGGCTAGGCAGCAGTTCTGCGGAAAAGGACCTAGCGGTGACAGTGGACGAGAAGCTGGATATGAGTCAGCAGTGTGCCCTTGTTGCTAAGAAGGCCAATGGCATTTTGGGATGTATAAGTAGGGGCATAGCGAGCAGATCGAGGGACGTGATCGTTCCCCTCTATTCGACATTGGTGAGGCCTCATCTGGAGTACTGTGTCCAGTTTTGGGCCCCACACTTCAAGAAGGATGTGGATAAATTGGAGAGAGTCCAGCGAAGGGCAACAAAAATGATTAGGGGTCTGGAACACATGAGTTATGAGGAGAGGCTGAGGGAGCTGGGATTGTTTAGCCTGCAGAAGAGAAGAATGAGGGGGGATTTGATAGCTGCTTTCAACTACCTAAAAGGGGGTTCCAAAGAGGATGGCTCTAGACTGTTCTCAATTGTAGCAGATGACAGAACGAGGAGTAATGGTCTCAAGTTGCAGTGGGGGAGGTTTAGATTGGATATTAGGAAAAACTTTTTCACTAAGAGGGTGGTGAAACACTGGAATGCGTTACCTAGGGAGGTGGTAGAATCTCCTTCCTTAGAGGTTTTTAAGGTCAGGCTTGACAAAGCCCTGGCTGGGATGATTTAACTGGGAATTGGTCCAGCTTTGAGCAGGGGGTTGGACTAGATGACCTTCTGGGGTCCCTTCCAACCCTGATATTCTATGATTCTATGATTCTATGAAGTGGCTGCTCCAGAAAATCCAGTAAGGACGCACCCCTAGAGCTCATGATAGAAAACAGACTGCTTGAGGGGAAATGTGGAGATTAGACAAAAGTATTTAAAACATTTTCTATCAGTTTTGTACATTGCCACGTGTAACCCACACAACTCCTGGCTGTGGCGTTCTGACACATGCACCATTTTCATCTTGGTTGACAATAAAACACACATGAAACTTTCCACCCAAAATATGGACTGTACATTTTGCTTTCTATATCACTAGTTTAAATACAGTTGATTAAAGTTGATGGAGTTATTCTGGATCTACAAAGGTGTAACAGAGAGCAGAATTTGGATATCTGGATTTGATATTACTCCGGTCATATTCAGTGCCATACTATTTGTTATTAGTTGGCCATGTTAAATAATACCTACAGCTTTTCAGTCCATTTGTTCTGTTTACGTGTACAATGCACAATCTTTGTGAGGACTGCACTTCACATAATTGATGTAGAAACTAGATTACAACAGGGGATCTGAATAGAAAAGTCTTTATTCCATAATTTTGGTTTAAAAGCACTTATGAGATCTTTAGCTGTCATAGTTAATGGAAGAGCTTTAGTTACTATAAGTTTCTGCACATTGTGTGTTGTTGCAATGTGTGTTGACATAATATAAAGGGTAAAAAGTATTCATTAAGTGTGATAACATATCAGGGAGTATTGGGTGTTGCAAGCTGTACAGACAGCAAACACTGACAGCGTGCACTAAACATTATTTACATCCAAATAACTACAAATTTGTACAATATCTTTCTTCTGGATAAAATGCCATGAGCTGCCACAATTAGTTATTTGCTTTAATAAAGAGGAAGTGATTATTTCTGCGTTATGTTTACTGTGAATATAGTCTTCGTACCAAGACAGAAAGCTTAAATGATTTGATTCTTAGAACTGTTTAAAGGGTGATTGTCAATTTGCATGATTTCTAAGTCAAGTTTTGATCAAGCACGCTTTAAACAGTATGTACATCCTCAGGGAGGAAAAATATATGAGGCTTTTTTTGTTTCCCTGCTGGTGTTTTTGAGGATCTATCCTACAGGAGTGAGTGGATGGGCCTGAGAGGAACACCATCAAACATGCTCAGGCCCCCACTTTCTCTATCCCTGTTTGTGTCCTAGAGTGCCTTATGCTTTTCAGAGCAGAGGTTTCCAAACAGGAACCCATCAGAAAGCCCACCAAGCTTGGAGGAACCATTCCAGAAGGTGTAAGCATTGAGAATTCTTCAGTCAACCTAGTTACCACCTCTTGAGGGGGTCGATATACTACAGCAATGGTCACTTTAGTAAGGGTATGTCTACACTACGAAATTAGGTCAAATTTATAGAAGTCGATTTTTTTAGGAAGCGATTTTATACAGTCGATTGTGTGTCCTCACTAAGCGCCTCTTGATCCCACCACCTCTCCTGTTGGTCCTGCCACCTGTCCTCATGTTCATTTTGTGCTTTCCTAGACTCTGACATTGTTTGCCTCCACGCATTCTGTTGGGCTCTTTCAGTGCGGGAGGACTGCATGAGCTCAGAGAACATTTCATCGCAAGTGCGTTTTCTTTCGCCTTCTTATCTGCGCTAGCCTCTGGGACGGAGATGATAGGGGGAGCGTTGAAACATTTGCAGCTGCGGGAGGGAAAAAAGGGAGAGTAGTATTTAAAAAGACACATTTTTGAGAACAATGGGTAGGCTCTTTCACGGTGAACCAAGCTGTTAACATTACATAGCACATGTGCTTTCTTTATAAGGTCACATTTTGCCTCTTATATTGAGGGCCTGCCGGTTTGGTGTGAGAGATCACACATGCAGGGCCAGGCAACAGACTTCAGCTTGCAGGCAGCCATGGAAAGCCACAGTGTTTTGGCTTCTTTAACCTTCATAACGTGGGAATGGTTTCAAACAGCAGCGCCCTCATTTCTCATACCAAGCACCCTTTGGGTTGGCCATTTAAAAGGAGGGGCTGCAGCACAAACCCAAGTAAACCCCCCCTCACACCCAATTCTCTGGGACGATTGTTTCACCCCTCCCCACACCACATGGCTAACAGCGGGGATGATTTCTTTTCAGCCACAGGCAAACAGCCCAGCAGGAACGGCCACCTCTGAATGTCCCCTTAATAAAATTCCCCTATTTCAACCAGGTGACCATGAATGATATCACTCTCCTGAGGATAACACAGAGAGATAAAGAATGGATGTTGCTTGAATGCCAGCAAACACTGGGACCATACGCTGCCATGTTTTCTTATGCAATGATTCCAGACTATGTGCTACTGGCCTGGTGTGGTAAAGTGTCCTACCATGGAGGATGCAATAAGGCTGCCCTCCCCAGCAACCTTTTGCAAAGGCTTTGGGAGTACCTCTAGGCCAGCTTCGTGGAGATGTCCCTATAGGATTTCTGCTCCATCCCCAGACATGTTAACAGACTTTTCCAGTAGCTGTACTGGCCGCAAAATCATCCCAAGTTTTCAGGGCAAAGTAATCATTAAACACGCTTGCTTTTAAAGCATGTATTATATTTACAAAGGTACACTCACCAGAGGTGCCTTCTCCGCCTTCAAGGTCCGGGAGCCCGGGTTGGGAGGGTACTGTTTCCAGGGTGATAAATAGTTCCTGGCTGTCGGGGAGAACGCTTTCTCCGCTTGCCTGCTGTGTGCTATCTTCAACCTCCTCCTCATCATCATCTTCCTCATCCCCAAAATCCTCATCCCTGTTGCGTGAGACTCCCTTGCAGGAGTCCACGTACACGGATGGGGTAGTTGTAGGGGCACCCCCTAGAATTGCATGCAGCTCATCATAGAAGCAGCATGTCTGGGGGTCTGACCCAAAGCGGCACTTGGGTTTTTTGGTAGGCTTGCCTGAGCTCAAGTTTCACGCGGCACTGCTGCGGGTCCCTATGATAGCCTCTGTCCTTCATGCCCTTGGAGATTTTTTTTCAAATATTTTGGCATTTTGTCTTTTGGAATGGAGTTCTGATAGCACGGATTCGTCTCCCCATACAGCGATCAGATCCAGTACCTCCTGTTTGGTCCATGCTGGAGCTCTTTTGTGAATCTGGGACTCCATGGTCACCTGTGCTGATGAGCTCTGCATGGTCACCTATGCTGATCAGCTTGCCACACTGGCCAAACAGGAAATGAAATTCAAAAGTTCACGGGCCTTTTCCTGTCTACCTGGGCAGTGCATCCGAGTTGAGAGTGCTGTCCAGAGCGGTCACAATGGAGCACTCTGGGATAGCTCCCGGAGGCCAATACCGTCGAATTGCGTCCACGCTACCCCCAAATTCTACCCGGCGATGTCGATTTCAGCACTAATCCCCTCGTCGGGGAGGGGTACAGAAATCGATTTTAAGAGCCCTTTAAGTCGACAAAAATGGCTTCATCATGTGGACGGGTGCAGGGTTAAATTGATCTAACGCTGCTAAATTCGACCTAAACTTGTAGTGTAGACCAGGGCTAAGTGAACACGCTACTGCAGCATAGCTATAGTACTGCAGCTGTAGGACTTGTAGTATAGACATACCCTAAGTAAAGTGTTCAGTGCAGCAGCAGAGGCCTGAATCCTCATTGTGCTGTAAACATTCCATTGTAGCAAAAACTCATTTTTGTTCAGAAACATTTTCCTTTGCTTGATATTTGTCAGGGAAGCAGAAGCAAGGAAGCATGTCTGGGAAACCCAAACTTACCTACCCCAATGGAAGAGGACGCATGGAATCAATACGGTGGCTGTTGGCAGCAGCTGGGGTGGAGGTTAGTCCATAATTTATGAAGAAATCCAGTTGCTCCTGAGAGACTGAAAGGGGTGCTCTTGTTTGGACTGATTCAGGATTAGCCATGATTTATTTTGTTATGCTGGTGTATGACTCTGCCTTTTGGCTCATTGTTGTGACAGGGTTGCTTCCTAAAAGAAGATGCCTGAAATATAACAATGCAACTAATCTATTTCATCTTTCCTTCTGCAGTTTGAAGAAGAATTTTTGGAAACAAGAGAACAGTATCAAAAGTTAATAAAAGGTAAGACTGCAGACTGGGGCTTTTCTACACCCAAAGTGGCACCAGTTTAGCTAAAATTGGTTTTATATCAGTTTAGTTAAACCAGTGTAAACCGCTGTGTGGACACATTTAATTCCGTTTACATCATGTATTAAATTAATAAATCACTAACCTTGACCACCCAATCCTGTCTGGTGCCAAGTAATGCCTGCAAGGTGCTAATCATCCAAACTTCCATTGGAGCCAGTCGACGTTGAGGGAGCTCAGCATCTCCCAGGATCATGCCCCTGTTTATTTTTATTAAATCTCTATATTATGGGAGCACCCAAAGGCCCTAATTCAGGTAGGGAGCCCATTGTGCTGGGTGTTGTACAAACATAAAGGAAGTCATCCGTGCCTTCAGAGGCTTACAATCTAAATACACAAACAAATGAAGAGTAGTGGATTGGAGAGACAACATACAAGCAGATGAATCTGATGAAGAATTGGTCCATCTTTGTTAGCTATATAGAATCATAGAAATGTAGGGCTGGAAGGGACCTCAAGAGGTCATCTAGCCCAGGCTCTGCGCTGAGGCAGGGCCAAGTAAACCTAGAGCATCCTTAACAGGTGCTTGTCTAACCTGTACTGTACTTAAAAACGTGGAATGACAAAGATTCCACAGCCTCTCTTGGAAGCCTATTTCAGAGCTTAAAGACCTTTATAATTAGAAACTTTTTCCTAACATTTAACCTAATCTCCCTTGCGCAGAATAATTGATCACGGTCATCTTTATAACACATGGGAAGGTTGTTATCAGCTCCCCACTCAGTCTTCTTTTCACAAGACTGAACATGCCAATTTATTTTTTTTAAACTTTCCTTATAGGTCAGGTTTTCTAAACCTTTGATCATTTTTTGTTGCTCTCCTCTGGACTCTCTTCAATTTGTCCACATCTCTCCTAAAGTGTGGTGCACAGAACATGTACTGCAGCTCTTTTATTGAGGATTAGGGGCAGGGAGAAAGGAAGGGAGTAGGAAAAGGAAAAAGTTCATGTTCTCTGTATGCGTATATCTATCTATCTATCTATCTATCTTATTATATGTTCTATTCTATACATCTGATGAAGTGGGCTGTAGCCCACGAAAGCTAATGCTCAAATACATTTGTTAGTCTCTAAGGTGCCACAAATACTCCTGTTCATTATACTTCTTGTATTTTCCTTTCCAAAGATGGAGCCCTGCTGTTTGACCAAGTACCATTGGTGGAAATTGATGGGATGAAGATGGTGCAGACCAGAGCCATTCTCAGCTACATAGCTGCCAAGTACAACCTCTACGGGAAGGATCTGAAAGAGAGAGCATTGTACTGTAACACCCCTTTTTGCTTAATAAACTACAATGAATATCTATAGCAGTGGTTCCCAAACTTGTTCCGCCGCTTGTGGAGGGAAAGCCCCTGGTGGGCCAGCCGGTTTGTTTACCTGCCGCGTCCACAGGTTCGGCCGATCGTGGCTCCCAGTGGCCGTGGTTCGCTGCTCCAGGCCAATGGGAGCTGCTGGAAGCGGCGGCCAGTATGTCCCTCGGCCCGTGCCGCTTCCTGCAGCCCCCATTGGCCTGGAGCAGCGAATCACGGCCACTGGGAGCCGCGATCGGCCGAACCTGCAGACGCGGCAGGTAAACAAACCGGCTGGCCCACCAGGGGCTTTCCTTCCACAAGCGGCGGAACAAGTTTGGGAACCACTGGTCTATATTATACCAGTTAACACTTCTGTAATACGATAAGTTGAGTATGAAATGGTGAGAAAAAGCTGTTATGCACTAAGGTTTTAACCATTGTTTCTGAAATGGGTCTGAACAGGATCGGGCCCTTAGTGTTGTAGTTTATTGTTTTTGTTTTGTATTGTGTTTTGCTGAGCAAATTGGGATTGCAACACCAATAGTAAAGAATTCCAAGTATCTGCAGTTTTCCTGTGGGTGAAACATCTTTAATACAGGCAGAGCAGTCATAACTTGTTCTGTAATACAGTACTAAAATGGTTTTGCTGCCATTACGTAACAACGCTGGTTTTGTGGCTGAAAAGGACTTGAGCTTCCAGGGCTGTTCAACCTAGAATCTTTGATAAGCAATAGGTTTATTTTAAGAGCAAAAATAAATGAACCAGAAGAACCAGTCACCAGAAAAACTTTGCTTGCATTCTGCATTGTCATTAAAAAGGGAGCAAGGCATGAATGCAACAGTGACATGTTAACAGTGCTATCGTATAAAACAAAAGCCGGTTATACAAACAGTAACGGATCATACAAAAATTGCTTTTACTAATTTGCAAGAAAAACCTGAAATAATTTGAACATGCTTTTTTCTCTCCCCTCCCTCCAGCATTGACATGTATGTGGAAGGAACAGCTGATCTCATGGGAATGATCATTACCTTTGTTTTCACTCCACCGAAGGAGAGGAATCTTGCCTTAATTGTCGAGAGGGCCACAACCTGATACTTCCCAGCCTATGAAAAGGCAAGCGACAGTGAGGCAATGCTTTATAGTCATCCCATTACATCTCATCGAATGAAGGCATACAATTGAGGCATTAGAATGAGTGCCTGTGTTTGCAATGAACACTATTCTGTTGCCAAACTGAGCAAAAGGAGTCGAATGGCCCCACCCCCTATTTTAGAGAGGCGTCTGAAAAGGGAGTAGACCTGCCCTTACAAGTGCTCAGTGTTCAGAATGATTTGTAATCTCTCAGCTGCAATTAAAGTTAATGGGAATTGCACAGATAAATCCCAGTGTGTTACTTTAAAACTGCACCCCTAATCACCTACAGTAAGAGACAATAGATATATATGGGAAGGGAGTTTCCTTGTATGGAAGCTGTTCCATACCCCTAATAATTTTTGTTGCCATTCTCTGTACTTTTTTTTAATTCTAAGTTATCTTTTGTGAGATGGGATGACCAGAACCACACACAATATTCAAGGTGTGGGTTTACTGTGGATTTATGTAGTGGCATTATGATATTTTCTGTCTTATTATCTATCTCTTTTCTTATGGTTCCTAACATTCTGTTAGATTTTTTTGACTGCTACTACACATTGGGCAGATGTTTTCAGAGAACTGTCCACAATGACACCAACATCTTTCTTGAGTGGTAACAGCTAATTTGGACCCCATCATTTTGCATGTATATTTGCGATTATGTTTTCCAATGTGCATTACTTTGCATTTATCAACCTTGAATTTCATCTGCTATTTTTTCATCCAGTCGCCCAGTTTTGTGAGATCCCTTTGTAACATTCTGCTGTCAGCTCTGGACTTAACGATCTTGAGTAATTTTGTATTGTCTGCAAACTTTGCCACCTCACTGTTTACCCCTTTTTTCCAGATCATTTATGAATATGTTGAACAGCTCAGGTCCCAGTACAGATGCTTGGGGAACCCCATTATTTACCTCTCCCAACTGTGAAAACTGACCATGTATTCCTACTCTTTGTTGCCTATCTTTTAACCAGTTACTGATCCATGAAAGGACCTTTCTCCTTGTCCTATGATGGTTTACTTTGCTTAAGAGCCTTTGGTGAGGGACCTTGTCAAAGGTTTTCTGAAAGCCCAAGTGTACTATATCCACGGGATCATCCTTGTCCACATATTTGTTGACGCTCTCAAAGAATTCTAATAGATTGGTGAGGTGTGATTTCCCTTTACAAAAGCCACGTTGACTCTTCCCCACCAAATCGTATTAATCTGAGTCTGATTATTCGGTTCTTTACTATAGTTTCAGGCAGTTTTCCTGGTGTTGAATTTAGGTGTACCAGCCAGTAATTGCCAGGATCGCCTCTGGAGCCTTTTAAAAAAATTGGCAGAGACAACCCATGCCTGCCAATAGTTGGAGGACAGAGTGAGGGCAGCCAGCTTCACCAGTGTTACTGAGCATGCTGAGTCCCCAAGGATGTTAAATGTAATTACTTTATGGTCACTATTACTTAGTGGTTCAGCTATGTTCACCTCCTTAACTAGATCCTGTGTGCCACTTAGGACTAAATCAGGAATTGCCTTTCCCCTTGTGGGTCGCAGGAGTAGCTGCTATAAGAAGCAGTCATTAACGGAGTCTAGAAATTTTTCTGCATCCCGTCTTGAGGTGACATGTACCCTGTCATATAGGGGTAGTTGAAATCCCTCCTTATTGTTTGGGGGTTTTTTTTGTAGACTCTCTAGTAGTAGTATATTCCTACTGCCATAGTCTTATTATTCAAGCATGGAATTTCTATCCATAGAGATTCTATGGTACAGTGTGAGTCATTTAAGATTTTTACTATATTTTACTCTCTACTTTCTTTCACATATGGTGCCACTCCCACACCAGCATGACCTATTCTGTCATTCCCTGGTATTACCAAGTCCCATTGATTATCATCATTCCACAAAGTTTCTGTGATGCCTATTATATCAATATGCTCACTGAATACCAGGCACTCAAGTTCACCCATCTTAATATTTACATTACAGCATTTGCACATGAGCTCTTATAAAATTTGTCAATATTTAGTTGTCTGTCTTCATGCAATGTAGTTGAATGGGACTCTTTTTCATTTGACTGTTTCTCTTCAGTTCCTACCTGCACTTTATCAGTTTCTGTCCTCTCCTCTTTATTAGGCTATAGAATAACTCCTTTAATAAATCCTCCCCTAAGGTATGTCTCTGCCTGAACTATGTGTTCCTCCACACCTGTTGGCTTTCCCTCAGCCCTTAGTTTAAAGCTCCTCAATAACCTTTTTAATTTTACATGCCAGCAATCTGTTTCCATTTTGGTTTAGGTGGAGCCCATCCTTCCTATATAGGCTCCTCCTTTCCCAAAAGGTCCCCCACATCCCAATAAACCTAAGTCCCTCATCTGAACACCTTTGTCTCATACATGCATTGAGACACTGCAGTTCTGCCTGTCTAACTGACCCTGTCTGTAGAACTGGAGCATTTCAGATAATGCTACCATGGACATCCTAGACTTTAATCTCTTATCTAGCAGCCTAAATTTGGCCTCCAGGCCTTTTTTCTTCCTTTCTCTGTCACTGGTACCTACATGTACCACAACCACCATCTCCTCCCCAGCACTGCACATAAGTCTATCTAGATGTCTTGAGATGTCTGCAACCTTTGTAATTCACCATGCAGTTCTCCCGTTCATCACAAACCCAAATATCTATATTTAAGATAATCAAGTCCCACATTACTATTACCTGTTTCTTCCTAATAACTGGGGTCCCCTCCCCCAGAGGGGTATCCTCATTGTGAGAGAACACCATGACATTATCTGGAAGAAAGACCCCAACTATGGGACCATTTCCCTCACTACAGCTTGATGTTCTCCTTCCCTGAGACTTTCGTCCTCCTCAAAAGCACAGAGGCTGTTGGACTAGGGGTGGAACGGTTCTACTGTGACCTGGAAATACTCGTCTAGGTACAAGAATTCAGACTTTTTCTATTGCAGCTATTAATACTAGGGTTTTGTATTCAGAGAGTGGGATTTGCCAAAGCACTTGAGCGATTGAGGAGCACAGATGCCAATGAATCACGTAAGTGCTTTTGAAAATCCCACACAGATGCTTCATAGAAGATTGTTACAAAGCCCATGACCTTGCTATACTTTGAAAGTATAACAATGAGCTCAGTTGCCAGTATTTATCCAGTGTATATATCTCTTTCATATCCATAACATCTGTGTTCCCTTGTATTCTGTAGGTTTTGAAACAACACGGGCAAGAGTTTCTTGTTGGCAACCGATTCAGCTGGGCAGATGTACAGCTGCTTGAAGCCATTTTAATGGTAGAGGAGAAAGAGCCCACTGTGCTTTCCAAGTTCCCTGTGTTACAGGTAATTCTGTTACTAAAGCTCAACCAGCAGCTATAGAATTGTGCAGAACAAAGACTTCAAGTTGCTTATTTAACAGGAGTTCCTGGGCTGATTCTGATCTCATTAAAACTGTGTAAATCAACAGTAGCTCTTTGGAGCATGAACAATAATTTTCTGTAGGTTTGTACAGCACCAAGCACAATGGGGTCTTGATCTGGTTGGCCTATAAGTGTTACCATGATATAAATGTTAAGTAATAATAACAATAGAAGTCTGTGGAATTAAGGTGATTTAAGCTCTGCTACTCATGTAATGAGCTCTGTTTCTTCAAAACTAATTTGTGAAGTTTTTATTTATGAAGTAGTTGGATGTTGTTTCCTTACTCTTAAGGCTTCTGTTGTTTCTCATTTCAGGCTTTTAAAGCAAGAATAAGCAACATACCTACAATTAAGAAATTCCTACAGCCTGGAAGCCAGAGGAAGCCCCCACCTGATGACCAATATGTGGCAACAGTGATGGCAATTTTCAAAAAAGATTAAATGCCAGGTTCCACTTAGAGAAGTCATCAAAATCTACAGAACAGGCCAATTTAGATGATCAGTGCTACCATAATTAAAAGCAATGACATTCCAGTGACAGAAAATAGTATCTAATTACTCTTGCGGTTTCAGTGGTTTATTTAATGACTGTCAAGTCCTTGATAAAATATGAAAGCAAAAGATTATTTAAGACAGTGTCTGCATCTTCCTCTCCATTTGGAAGGAAGCTGTCACACTGTTGCCACTATCAGAATATAAATAATAATAATAATAATAATAAGCTTATATCTAGATGCAAATAGGTGTTAAAACCTCAACTCTGGAGCAGAAAAGAAACTCCCACTGAGTTATGACCCCTTAAAGACATTGACTTGTAACTTTCTAGTATGGTATACACTACACACACTGTTTTGAATTTATTTATAGAAGAACCTATTAAACAATAATGGGCCAGAAACATCTTTCCTTTACAGTGGTTGCAGGGTACAGTCGCAGAGTATGACCACCCCTGGCACTGTGTGGCACTGCAGTCACCCTGCCTCAGTTTCTTCTAATCCTCAAAGATTCTTATGGCCTTCAGCATAGTTCAGTTGTTGAAGGAAGGGGTTGTCTACACTTAAAATGCTACAGCAGAACAGCTGCACTGTTGTAGTGTTTTGGTGTAGACACTACCTACGTCAAGAGGAGGAGTTCTGCACCCTGCAACCCACCTCCCTGAGAGACGGTAGCTAGGTCAAGGGAAGAATTCTTCCATCAGCGATGTTTACACTGGGGGTTAAGTTGTCTTAACTACGCTGCTCAGGGGTGTGAATTTTTCACACCCATGAACAACATAGTTAAGTTGACTTAATTTTCTAATGTAGACCAGGCCTATTCACAAAAGTACACCCCTCCTGGAGTATCAAAGTCCAAACAAACACAAAACAGAAGTGTTCTACCTTAGTCTTAGGCTTGGTCTCCACTAGAAAATTATGTTGCTTTAACTCCTTCAGTCAGGGATATGAAAAACTGACACCCCTGAGCAGCATAGTTAAGCCATGTAACAGCGCTAGGTCAATAGAAGAATTCTTCCACTGATCCAGGTATCGTCTCTCAGGGAGGTATATTACCTACACTGATGGGAGAATCCCTGGCTTCAGCAGAGGTGGTATCTACACTGAAGTGCTTTCCCTCTGGTCTTTCCTAGCCTGGCTCAAACTTCTTCTCTCTTGAAACAAGGTACTCTCAGCCTCCCCCCCTTGCTGTGCTTCAGTGCTGGCAGGCCTCCTCAGCCCACCATGGCTCTGTTCTACCCCAGGGGATGCTTCTTCCTGCAGGGCTCTCCTGACTCCAGGCTCCCCATTTCTGAACTAACAACTAAGAGGCTGGTCTAATTTTCCAAGCAGGCCTGCTCTTAGTCACCTGGCTCTTTGTGACACAACCTCATTCATCTCCTTCCTCTGGGGAAGGGAGCTAAGTTTGGCACAAGTGCAGCTTCTGAAAGCATTGACCAGGGTGTAGTGCCTTCTGGGGACACATAATCCAAGGATGGGGGAAGAGGTTGTGGCAGTGCAAAGTAGCGGCCTTCACCCAGGCCAGGGTAGCCCCAAATGTAGGTAGTGTGGGATGCTCTGATTTAGTCCATCTCCTGACACTTCTGTGGAGCCCTCAGTGGAATTAATGCTGTCCCTAACCGGCAGAACCTCAGAGGGAGGGCAGCAGAGGAAGAGCCCCACCCCCGTCCCGGGTGAATACTTCTACAGCACAGCAGGCCATCCTGGCATGGGTTCATCTTCTCAAGCTTTTTTTCTACAGCCATGAGGACTAGAAACTTACCATTGGTTGGTTGATTCAGTTGGTTTGGTTGGAGAGGGGGTCTTGGTTTGTTTTCTGTTTTCTTGGATTTTGTAAATGAAAGCTGAGACTCTCACATAATCACCTGACTGCAGGAACTGGGGCTTTACGACAAATACCAAATATCATGAGACTCATGATAAAATCACCTGAGCTGGCAATATGGTAAGTGAGCTGCACTGGGACTGATGCAACTCAGGGTGCAGTGCCACCTACTACCACTGCAGGATTCCCAGTGGGACTGAAACTGTTCCAGCCCCGGCAGGCTTGCAGCATACCCAGTGGTGAGCTGGAGCCAGTTCGCTAGAACTGGTTGTTAAATTTAGAAGCCCTTTTAGAACCGGTTGTTCCACGAGGGACAACCGGTTCTAAAAGAGCTTCTAAATTTAACCGTCCAAAAGTGGTGCCTTAGGCGTGGACTCCATGGGTGCTCCAGCCCTGGAGCACCCAAGGGGAAAATTTGGTGGGTGCAGAGCACCCACTGGCAGCTCCCTCCCCCGGCCCCAGCTCACCTCCGCTCCGCTTCCGCCTCCTCCCCTGAACGTGCCTCCCTGCTCTGCTTCTCTGCCCCCGCTGTTTGGGCGGGAAGCCAGGGCGGGCTGAGAAGCAAGCGGCGGCTTCCCACTCAGGCCCAGGGAGGCGGAGGTGAGCTGGGGCCAGGGGCGGGGGGAGACGCGTGAGGAGGGCTGCCCGTGCCGCAGCAGGTAACCCGGGGGGGGCGGGGGCATGCAGGGGAACTGCTCCCCGCCCTAGCTCACCTCCGCCTCCCTCGGCCTGAGCGAGAAGCCGCGGCCTGCTTCTCAGCCCTCCCTGGCTTCCCGCCAAACAGCTGATTTGCGGAAAGCCGGCGGAGGGGGGCACGGAGAAGCAGAGTGGAGCGGTGCGTTCAGGGGAGGAGGCGGAGGTGGAGCGAAGGTGAGCTGGGGCCGGGTGCAGGGCGGGGAGGGAAACTGCTGGTGGGTGCTCTGCACCCACCAATATTCCCTATGGGTGCTCCAGCCCCGGCGCACCCAAGGAGTCGGCTCCTAAGGCACCACTTTTGATGTGATCAGTGGGGGGAGTGCTCGCTCCCCCTGCTCCCCCCCTAGCTACGCTCCCGCACCCCCAGGAGCCAGAGGGACCTGCCGGATGCTTCCTGGGAGCTGCCCCAGGTAAGCACCGCTGGGACTCCTCACCACGCCCCCCGTCAGGTGCCTCTGGCTCTTAGGGGTGGGGTGGGCACCCACTATGGTGGCCCATGAGACCCTCCTGCCCGGTTCTGGGGGCAGTCAGGCAACAGGGAAGGGGGGTGGATGGGGCAGGGGTCCTGGGGGGGCATCAAGGAACGTGGGGGGGTTGGATGGGGCAGGAGTCCCAGGGGGCGGGGGTGGGCAACGACCCCCACGTGGGTGAGGAGGGAACCCATTGTTAAGATTTTGGCAGCTCATCACTGAGTATACCCTGCACCGGGGTTTTCTGCTTCTGCAGCGCATAGACTGCTGACAAGGGAAAAGCACAAAGCAGGGAATACTAATACTGATTTATGGAAGGCTCTATGTCATGCTCTCAGCTTTCTGCCCCTGCTTCTCCAGGTCCAGTAACAAGCAACAAGGAGTCATGAAGGAGGTTTCTGAACCTGGAATATTGTGTGTGAGCGGGTGGGAAAAGGGGTTGGGGACAGGGTTCTGGGCCTTGTAATGAGATTGTGCATGAAAGTGTTTTCAGCAGTGAGCCCCTGCTTTGTAGAGCACATCTTATGCAAGGAGTATCTTAAAATGCTTTAGGAGTGAAATAGCACAGTTGGAAATTCAGAATAATTGCAAAGGGAGAGAGAGAAATTAAGTGGAATACAGATGGGAGAGAAGAAATTTTCAGAGAATATACCAAAAGTGATGGAGATTGGATTTTTTAATATGCAAGTGGAATTACTTTGACAATCTTTGGATTCACACACTTTCTAACATGTTCAGAAATAGATCAAAATGTAATTGCTAATATTATCTCTCTTTAATTTATGGCCTATGAGTGAATTTGATTTTCAAAGTTTTCTGTGCAAAATCTCATTTTTATTTTGTGAGCCAGTTTTTCGAATCCTTGCACAAGATCTTAGCAGTATTTCATTTGTACATTTAAAAAATATAGCTTTATCGCTGTAGAATCGTGTGATGTGCAGATTCAAACAGCCTCATCTTAAAATACAATTCAAAAGGCTTTGTCTTCACAAAGAAGTCTGGCACAATATACCACAAAAGGGTTTTCTTTTTTACATAATCAGTTACAAGAGTTAGTGCTTAATTTTAATATTACAAAAGAATTTAGATGACAAAGGAAGAAGAGAGAAAATGAGGAAGAAATTAAAAGGGGAATTTAAAAAAGCAGAAAAGTAGAACAAAGAGGTATCAGATGATTTCTTGTGTCTTGCAAAAATAATCCAACCCCCTACCACCACCACCACCCACAAACTATGAATTTTATAGCTGTGTAGATTTGTAAAGTGTTGCAAAGTTCTAACCTTATTGTTGCTGTACCCCTTCAACATGAATGGGAGAGTCAGAGTTTTTCCATCTCCTGCAAACAGTTCATCAAGCAGCCAGAAGCAACAATTGAATGAAACATACAATTGGCTGTTACATTCCTCAGCGTTTGAATATCTCAGGTTTCAGAGTAACAGCCGTGTTAGTCTGTATTTGCAAAAAGAAAAGGAGTACTTGTGGCACCTTAGAGACTAACCAATTTATTTGAGCATAAGCTTTCATGAGCTACAGCTCGCCTCATCGGATGCATACTGTGGAAAGCGTAGAAGATCTTTTTATATACACACAAAGCATGAAGAAATACCTCCTCCCACCCCACTCTCCTGCTGCTAATAGCTTATCTAAAGTGATCACTCTCCTTACAATGTGTATGATAATCAAGTTGGGCCATTTCCTGCACAAATCCAGGTTTTCTAACCCCGCCCCCTCCCCCCACACACACAAACCCACTCTCCTGCTGGTAATAGCTTATCTAAAGTGACCACTCTCCTTACAATGTGTATGATAATCAAGGTGGGTCATTTCCAGCACAAATTCAGGGTTTAACAAGAATGTCGGGGGGGGGGGGGGTAGGAAAAAACAAGGGGAAATAGGTTACCTTGCATAATGACTTAGCCACTCCCAGTCTCTATTCAAGCCTAAGTTAATTGTATCAAATTTGCAATATGAATTCCAATTCAACAGTTTCTCGCTGGAGTCTGGATTTGAAGCTTTTTTGTTGTAATATCACAACTTTCATGTCTGTAATCGCGTGACCA